GTCCTCTGTTCCTCCGATGCCCCTGAGTGGTTTGAGAAGGGGTCACCGCAGCTGACAGCAGGGCCTCGGTTTGACCAAGTCCGAGAAGGCCTTGGGTCGACTGGCCTGGATAGAAAGCACTCTCGCCAAGCTTTGCCTACTTTCTACCAAGCCTAATGAGATAGTTTCACTTCAAATTTATTATAAGATAAGATAAGATGAAATAAGATGAAGACTTTATTCAAGGAAGGTTGACACTAAATAGCCAGAACAAATAAAGTTGTGGCCCTCTTCAATACTAAATAAATAAATAAATAAATAAAGAAACAAAATAATGAGATAAACAATTAAATAGATAATACTAACTATATAAAATACGATATAGCTGTATAATCTAGTCTGAACTTATCGAACAAACTTATATAAGAAAATGACCAAGAGACTGCTGTTGAGTGAAAAATTCACTCCACAATGCTTGTTTGAAAGAATTGACCGAGTCTCTTTGTCTGATAGACAATGGTAAACTGTTCCACGCTTTGCATGTCGTGATGGTAAAAATTCTTCCTCCTTCTGTTTGGCGATTATATCTCGGAGAGGTTAGGTTAACTAATCATAACTAATTATACTTTTTCTCAAGGATATCCTTTAGCCAGGTAACGCCCTGCATTAATGATGAAGTTTCCTATCTCATTTCAATTAAGTACAATAATGCACAAGTACCTTTATCGCACATCTCTCCAGTATATCCTTTTGGACAAATGCACTCAAAACTGTTATCAACTTGAAAGTTTGGTCTGCAAGTTGCGTTCTTTACACATGGATAACTGCTGCATGGATTCTGTCGCCGAAGAAAAGGCACATAAAAATTAGTATACATTCTCAAATTTGTTACAAGTGACGTTTATTTCTGGGAAATTAGTCACCTTGGTGCCATAGTACTTATGTTTCTCTGCTTCTATTAAGCTTTCTGGGCCCACTGCAACGTCGTTCAATTCACACATCCATTTACCATTGTCGAGCTGTGGACTGATATTTATTGACTGACAGAGTTTGTCTAAGTAGCAATGGATTTCGCAGTTATCTTCTTGTGGCACGTACAATGTCTTGATCACGTGACCTCGCAAAATTCTTCCCACGATCGGCGAGAAAAACTCTTTGACCCTGCAACATTCTGAATTCGAGTAAGGATATGACAGATTAGTTCGATTCAAGCTTGTGCTTGTCTTACATAATTTGGCCACATCGCCTTAAATATAATGATCCTGAGCCGAAAAGACAAAATATTTCCATTTATTAAAAAAACGGAAATTCCTGTCTTTGGAAGTATCCTCCACCTTCGTAAATTCCTGAAAAGCTTAACTTGTTTTGATACAGAACATGTCGGGAGAAGGCATTTGGGGCACAAATGTATTATCACACTTTTAACGAATTCTTAAAGGCACTTTTAAAAACCGAATTGAAAATAAAATAGGTTTTTTCCCCGAGTTTTAACTTAAAACTCAATCCAAAACCGCTTATCGCTTATCTTAGCCTCCCACGCAGGCGTTTTTAGGGGAGCTCGTATTTCTTCTCTCGGGGAGGGAAGAAATACGAGCTCCCCTAAAAATGCCTGCGTGGGAGGCTACGTTTATCTGGACTATGAGAAAATATATTAAGTTTGATATTTGATATAAGTTGTATTGATATTCAAAACTTGGAGTTTCTCCGTAATAGTTTTCGCTACAGTGGTGCTGTTCTGTGTAATAGAATAGTCTTCAGGAAACATCAAGGCAAGCAGAATCGCTACGTAATTTTAAGTCACTTTTGCACAGTTATTATAATATCAAGCAAGGCACGGCATTCCATGGAAAACAGGCTTTTTTTTCGTATGTACTTGAATAATTTTAATACTGTATTTAGCGGAACCCAGTAAATGTAATAAAGGTTTTTAAATTTTTATAATATTTCATGCCTGATGAATTAGTAACACCGTGCATAAATAAAAATTACCTTACCTTACCTTACCAGTACTTAGTCTTTGTCCTTCTAAAACGGGAGAGACTTTACGGTGATTAATATTTGGGGTTAATCACCTACAAACAAGCATTTTTGAATTCGAAACCACAGGATTGTTGCTGCTTGTACATGGCTGATGTATTGCTTGGCAGGTGTTCCCTCATAGTGTTGCTGTAATTTATTCGTCGTCAGCTACTTATTTACCGACCAGAGAACCAATTTTCAACTGAGCGTTAATTAACAAATGAAATTGGGCGTTTCTTTCCTACTGGGTAATTGAGGAAAATGAATTTCCTATTGCGCGGAGCGCAACAGTTACATGTATTTGTAATGAAAACTGATTGCTTTAAGCCCTTTTAGGGCCCAAGTTTAATTACATTGACAGTTGATGATCGATGTTTAGCTCTATGCGTCTGCCTGATTACAAATGAACGGAAGCAACACGAATAGCAATTTCGTAGATTAGTCTATCATAATAGAAAGCCATTTCTTGGTTGATAAAATTGAAGAGTTTACAGCAATATATTTGCATCAAGACCAGAAGAACGTAAGACGACCAATTTTCACCGATTTTGTTAAGCGAAAGTACTTCCAGTTATTTTTATCATACGTAAAGATCAGTTTTGCGTTTGCTCTACTTTGTGAATTTTCCAGCCTGGTTAGTTTGGTCGGAAGGAACGGTTCGTTATAGCCTGTGTTTGGGCACTAAATAATGTGCAATCTTTTTTAAAGATTAAAAATTCGTTTAGTTTTTTTGCACGGAAGAAAATGGAAACATTTCGATGCGAGCATCGAAACAGATCTAGATCGAGAACAAGCTTATAATAACTAGCACTCTTTCGCTGCTAGATTTACTATTAAGGGTAAGTGTAGTTACAAGGGAATTATTTCGTAGGGAACATTATTGTCTAACTTGCTTTTGGGGAAAATGTCTCGTAGCTCGTTGCCCATGTACAATGAAAAATGTGACAGACAGATTGATATTGTGCGGATTTCGAAAGAGGGACAGGTGCCTTTTATTGTACCTGTGTTAGCTTGTGTTTGTGAAAAATACGAATAGCTGTTAAAACACACAAAACCTCACCTATTTTAGTCATCCAAATAAGAATGGCTGCCTTCAAGAGATACATTTTGAGCAATGGGACTTGACCATGTATGAATGCGAAACTACCAGTTTACATGCATATTAAGTGTATCCTTACCTGCCACTTTTCAATAGATAAATAGTAATTGTACGTGTTTTGAATTAACTCGCCGTCTGTACTATTATTTGTTTGGCTATTGATTCATTCATGGAGCATGGAACTATATTCATTGGCAGATAAGTAAGAAAACGCATTTCCTTTTTCGGACACTTTTTAGTTCGTCACCTTTTCACTCTAATCATATACTAATCGTATATGTGACGACTGATAGAATCTTTTTAGCAGTCAGTTTCGTCACTTAAGGCAAAATCTGCTTCATTGCTATGCATGGGTGAAAAAATAAGCCAAAATAAACTAGCCCTGTTTAAAAGATAAAAGTAACACTAGTTTCAAACAAGAAAAATTCTACATAAGGTCTCAGTTTTTGTGACCTTTGATTAGTTTTTTTGCCAGCTAATACTGAATTCGTTCACTAAGCTTAGTGGTTGTGACCGCAGGTTTGCTAAGAAGAGAAAAGGGTGGAGCAAAAGCTAGGCAAGTTCTTTAAGCTTTCCTTACGGACCTTACGGTACGGTGTGTCCTTCATTCTTTTTTATTGAAACTGACGTTTTGGGAAAATGTCTTTTTCTGAAATACTGTAAATTAACGCTAAGAAAAGTGATTACTTATAGCCTCAAGATAAAATTAACCGAAAAGTTTCTCACCTGCTTTGGCGAAGACGTTAGTGTAGAAAATTCCAAAACTCAGAGCAAAAATTAAGAAAACGAAACGAATATTTCGTCCGAATCACTTGTAATATTGAGCTTCACGAACTGTTGTTTTAAAGCAGTTGTCAGAGACTGTTGCCAGCTTGCATATTGACTGGATTTTTTCCTAAACAGCTCACGCTCTCATCGGTTACTTTTTCTCGCTAAAAACGCGAGATTTAGTTTCACAAATTTGTACAAAGAGAAGTTTATTTTCTTGGGCTGGATAAAAAATCACTTAATGACTGGTCCCTTGGGTATGGAGTTAATTTTGTTTCCCTCGAATCTCAGTCCTCAGTCCGGTCAGTGTTTCGGCCCTTGATTCCTTCGTGGGAAACATTGGATTAGGTCTAGCCATTGCTTGTTATGTAGACTGCAAAACAGGTCTGACAGGTCGTATTTTTTTTATGGTGGTCAAGAGCGCGAGCTGTTAAATGAGAATTCTAGAGCGCCTTTTTGCATATATTTTCGCCATGACGCTATTTCGCAATATCATCTCCAATGGACTCACAGCTTGAGCGAGCTTGGGCCATCTATGATCGAACAAACATCGTTCTATGTGCTTCGGATATTTACATTCACGTGGTTACCGCCAGGACATCATATGGATCGCAATACATTGACAGCTATTTTTCATTGAGTATACTCTAGATCTCGTAAAAGTAGTCATATAGATGTTATTACATGAAATTTTCGCGACATGTTTATTTCACGATTTTGATGTGCGCATATTTCGCGACACTTGAATTTCGCGATTTTGCGAAAATCTTATATTTTGGATCACTTTAATTTCGCGTTTTGAGCACCACAATTTAAATTTCATGGGCAATAACGTCAAAATCGCGAAACACAACAGCGGGACTAAATGTCAACTGTACAACAAAGCAGTTTTCACAACGTCCACAAGCAGTTCATACTTGTACGTGAATTTTTGCAGGTACTATATAAGAAAAAAAGGATTAAAACTCAAAGTCCAATGCTATTTTTATATTTTATCTTTTAGTGTAAAAAACAGGAACAATACTGACCCATCACCGCACGTAAGCTAAAAGGTAAAGACGGAAGTAAAGCCAGTTCAAGTTATTTACGTGTGTATTTAGGACTTCGCAATACTAACTGGCTCGACTTTTCATGAGGACAAGCAGACGAGTCATCTGAAAGAGGGTAGGTTTTCTTTGTAAGGGTTCACGATTTTTGTATTTGCGTTAACCTTTTCAATAATGTTACAGCCAAACCTCGTATTATTTTGATGGTCACTTCACAACTTGTCCCTGCAACATTCTGGACATTGCCGAGGAATTTTGTATCGGCCGTTTTGTCGTTTGCATGACAGACCTATATATTGAACTGACTAGGTAGTATTCTCATTAAAACTTTGAATTTGAGAACGAGTCTGCCAAGAAAACCAAGGTGAAAATTTCTAGCTTCGCAAGTTAAGCGAGGACGCCGTTTTTTGTGTATAAACGTAACGCTCTCTAAGTACCAGCAGCGTTGCGTGAAGATACAAAGAACTGGGTAGGAGACTAGGAAGTTCTTTGAGGCAGTTGTCACGCCATCAAAATACCAGTGTTGACAAATGTTGGGAAGTTTTTATGCTGCGCTCAAAAGAGCATCCAATTGGACTAAGGGTCTGTTTTCTAATGTCTAATGCAGATTGAAAGTCTTTAATTGTGATTTCACTTTGCTATTCTATATCAGGCTCTGGCCTGCGTGAATGTAAAATGGTATTGTTTAGGTTCAAGTTGTTACTAAAATGCATCAATTCTGTTTAATTAATGGTTTTGGTAAGCGCGGCTTCATGATAATTTGTGTTAGTTTGGGTAAAAAATATTCCTAATAGTTTTAAAAACACTGTGATCTACAGTATCATTGCTGTTTTTGGGATTTTCTACTTTCATTCTCAGTTTTAAACAACACAATGCTAATCAGTCCATTTATGATGTGCAAGTGGACCTTTAGACTTTTGCAACACAATTTCACAATAGTAGCATCACTGTAAAAAAAAACTATTTCAACCAAAAAAAACTTAGTTTAATTTAATTAAAGTCTAGTAGCGAGATAAAGGCTAACAGCATGTACAGTTCTCACCACGTTTTTTTAATTCCCATGAGGATACTAGGTGCTTCAACGTAAAGGCCCTCATATTTCTTGAAGGCTTTATTTGGATATTGGCGTATTGCAGCGGGGATACTATTCCGAACTTGGCTCCTAATCTGTTGAAAGATCTAAGTCGTTGATTCGTTTTTGAAATATTGATGTAGAAGTTCCCTAAATTAGAAGAACTCGTTTTATATCCGTGTATTTCAACTGTTTTGGTGAAAAGAGCTAGAGCAAATGCTTGATAGTGTGAACTTACTGAAATATTATGCATTGAAGTTGAGACAGATTTTAAAATAAAGCATGTTCAATAGAATGGGGGGAGATTAGAGGAGAGAAACAGAGAAACGGTGTTCTCCCTTGTCTTATATATATAAAAAAAGATTAAACGAATGGCAAGCTTCTGTAGCTTGTCCCCAGGCAACCAGTCCGTACGATAAATGAGCGGATATCAGAGAGCGATAGAAATTTAAGGGGTTATGCAATGGGAGATGTGCCTCAGACGTGTAATAATTCCCACTGTTTTACTTACTTTAGAGGAAACATAGTCAATAAGGTATTTCCACCAAAGGTATGGGTGTTGTTATCAAAAATCTGAATGTTAATTGAATACTATTACACTGGATCGCAAGTAGACTTAAGAATATTTCAAGTCAAGAGTTTTTTTCTTACTTAACAACTCTTAGTACTTCAGACCTGGCGCTTTGATCAGTCATAGACGTAAACAAAAAACCGATCGCGGTAGTTGTTCTGTTGAAGAATGGAGAATAGAAAGGTTTTAACAGTAATTTTGGTCTATTTGTTTTACAATTTTATCGAGTCCGATGAATCAAAACGTTGCAAGCAGAAAGCCTTCATTCGCTTCCGAGCTCAAAAGCTAATCTCTTCGATAAAAGAGAAAAAAAAGATAAATAATGAAAATAGGGGTACTCGGAGCTTAGAAGAGTGCGTTCGATATGTTTGTAAGGCTTACAGGTAGAAGTTGAGGAGGAAGAGTGGATGGTTATTGCGATAGATTAAGCCCGCTTTCCATATGATCGATACGATCGCTGTGATCGCTGCGATCGCTGAGAAAAAAAAGTTCAGCGATCATATGGAAACTACTCTCCAGCGATCGCAGCGACCGGCAACGATATATATAACTTTTTATATCTCAGCGACTGTTGTCGCTGCGATCGCTGGAGAGTGGCTTCGTATGATCGCTATGATCGCTGCGATCGCTGAAGTTCATTTTTTTTCTGAGGATCGCAGCGATCACAGCGATGGTAGCGATCATATGGTAACCGGGCTTTAATTTGATCATGGCATAGTTTAAACGCAAGGATTGCTTACAGCGAAACCTCTATTTAAAGTGTGTATCATTATGAAAAAGCCTTGAAGGCTAGTGATATCGTATGACCCGTTTCAATAAGTGCAGTAGTTTGGTCAAGTGTGTTGATTTCAGTGACTTGAGTGGGGCTACTGTGGGCTTTTTATAAGTTTTTCTGAATAAATAACATAGACCTAAAATGTTCGTTTGTCCGGTGCCGAAGACATCACAGGTCAAGTTGAAACGTTGCCGCCAAGCTTCACATCTCGGTAGATTTACTTTGTGGCACAACGGCCGCCGAGCTACACAACTCGGTAGATTTACTTTCGTTTTGAAAGATTCAGCAAACACAGATCGATAGTAGACCTTCAGCAAACTCTTGAAATATGTATGCTTTACGAAGATTCAGCAAACTTTTAAAAGATGAACGCTTCACGAAGACAGAATAAAAGACCCCAGCAAACGCTTGAACGATGAACTCCGAGGACGCACGAATCACCACGTGAGTTAGTTCGTCAAAGTGAGACAAAACGTAAGCAAGTGCCTCAGAGCGAGGCAAATGTGTGTCCACGACGACGACAAATGCAATCTCGAAAAAACTTCCCTTATAAATTGCACAGGGAACCCAATAATGCACAGAACACCCAACACAAATTAGGGGTTGCGTTCTCGTACCTCGAACGCAATAACATTACAGTGATTACATAATAATAAAATAACATTACTAAGTACCAATTATTGTCTAGTGTTAAGTGTCATGTTTCATTACATACAGAAAACTACTATTAAATGCTAAGTGCTATGAAAGGAGATGGTTCGTATTAGACGTTTAACACCAGCCAAAGTGGACTCCGTTCTAATGTTTTCAGGTAGAGAGTTCCAAGTTTTACAGGCAAAATACTTGAAAGAGTGATTATCACTTCCCCTAAGAGAGTAGACCCTTGAGTGCAAAGTTAATAAGTCCTGAAGGTACGCAGGGTAGAAATTGATATGCATACTTTTACGAATCTTGAACAAGTAAAGATGAATTAAGAATTAAGCCTGAGGAAACCGCAAGTCAGCTAAGTCGGTCATAAGGATGGATTTCAAGACACTTCAAACTTTCTTGAATCGTTTCAACTCCCTCGCGAGGCTTTGTGATAAATGTATTTCACAGCTGATCTCAGTTACTTGCATGGACAAACAAGCACTTTTGGTTTTAAGTAAAACTTTATTAGCAGTTCTTGAGAGTTATTTAACAGCGTAAACTAAAAGACTATCAACATGTCAAAGAAATCAGTCCTACAAAAGCAATTTGTAGTTTATGGCGCTGTTTCAGTACTTGGGCATTTCGTGCATTGCATTTCAAGTCATTTCGTTCATGTGACGCTTTTGTTAATAAACACAACAAGCTTGGTGGTGTTTGATTGCCAAAACAAACTGGTGCCTTCGTCAAAGAGATGTGAGGAGAGCCACTAGAGACCTTTTAAGGTATATCTTAAAAGATACACCGTTTCCGTGTGCGGGTACGGGTAAATTCGTCCGTTCACGTAGCCGTAAATACGGGTACGTTGCTTCTTACGCGGGAGAAACGGGTAGGCTACCGGTTAGAATGGTTTCGCCATTATCACATCTGGGAAATAATGGTTGCCTTTTATAAAACTACGAGGTAAACATGTTCGCTTACTTGTACAAGTAGGTTGAAACGGTGTATCTTAAGTTCACTATTAATTCGGAGTTCGGCACCCGTTCTCTGCCGTTGTCGATCGCTCGAGAAGTCTACTTTCTACTACTTTTTACTACTGCAATATCGTTTGGGCTTCGACCTATAAAACTAATCTCCGCCGCCTTGTTATCCTGCAAAAGCGCATTATTAGAATTATTAATAAATCACATTTTAATGCTCATACTGACCCCATCTTTAAGGACCTCGGTATACTAAAATTTAATGATATCCATTTGCTTCAACTGGGCCAATTTATGTATTCTTGCAAAAATTCATTCTTACCTCCAAAGTTTAATAACAATTTCTCTCAAAGCAATCAATTCCACTCTTACAATACAAGAAATTCCCAGGCCTACCGTCTACCGTATTGTCGTACAAACACGAAGAAGTTCTCGCCCTTTTTTCAAGGGCCTAAGTTTTTTAATTCACTTGACAACAAGATCATCAACTCTCAATCCCTCTCCTCTTTTAAGAACAAACTGAAGATTAAATTATTGAGTAAGTATGAAAACAGTTTATAAATCTTTCCATCTTCGACTTTTCGCCTTCTTCTCTTCAATTGATGTGAAACAGCTCTAGCTCATAGTTCGAGGAGGCCTAACCTCTCATAAGCTCCTATAGTTTCTGTTAGGTCTCCTCGCCACTTTTTTTTTTTTTTTTTTTTTTTCTTCTTCTTTTCCTATATTTTTTGTAATTAGTGTGGCAAATAAAATAAAATAAAAATAAATAAAATAAATAAATAAGTCAGACATTTTCTTTAAGAGTTCTCTCTCAATAATTTAGCAAAAGAATAGCGTTGTACAAATAAGAGCGATGTCGTAATATTTATTTATTTATTTATTTTTTTACCTCCTTTCCTGCTTTTTCACTTGCTTTATTTAATTTTACCAAGAGAGGATAAAGGGGACACAGAAGGCATCCCCCCACACACCCTACTCCACAGATAATTCGTCTCGAGTTATTTTTAGAATCGGGATAAAGTTACCTCGCGCGCTGCGTGGATGTTTCGTTGAGGTTTCGCATGACTAAACGCCGTGCAAAAAATGTCGCAGAAAGGCAATGAAAGCCAAAGAGATCGAGAGCATTCCTGAATATTGAAGCGAAATGAGTCGGCGCTCACCTGGGAAAAGGGAATCGATGGCCTCTTTGACAATCCTGAAATCAGTTTACTTGAAGTTGTCGTAACCTCAGTGCTTTAAGAGAAATTTCGCCTGTCTATTGAAACCGGTCGTTTGTACAATAAAGCAAGTACGACGCCAAGTGTTATTTTTGTTAAATAATAAAAGACTAATAAAAGAATAAATATCAAACCAGAAATCGCTCTCTTCAAACTGTATGTTATAAATGATCCTGAGAGAATATTCAGTGTGTTAAAGATTTCCCTGCTGTACTGTTAGCTCTATACAAGAGAGGAAGGGCGATTCTTTTATAATTTCTGTTTCGCTGACACAGTTTTAGCAGAAATCTCTCTGTAGTCGTTTTCGTCGACAAAACGAATAGTAGTATCGCTCTCCGCGTCTTCCGCCATTTTGTTCCGCGTCAATTCGTGAAGGACACCAGGCTCTGAGCGTGGGTCATCCACGCGGAACACATTCGCCCTATGTGATTGGCTGTTGTCTAATCCCTCTTGGGATCTGTGGTCTTAAAAATAACTCGAGGGAAATTTCCTATGGAATAGGGTGTGTATGGGGGATGCCTTCTCTGTCCCCTTTATCCTCTCTTGGTCTTACGCACTTTAGCCAAACCGCCGCTGAAGCTATGTAAGGTTCCAATGATTTGCCTCCTGTCAATCATGTGTATGCCTGACTTCATCAGAGACTAAGGCATGTTCAATTGACTGTATTCCGGAATAATAATAAATGGAATAAACACTAGAAACCACTTCAGTTTGGCATTCATTGCATTGTAATATCTGGAGATCTTGAAATAATACAATATTCCGATGCATCTGGCGTTTACGTTTAAGTGTTCCAACAATCACGGTAGAAGAGATTTGTAACACAATCTTTGCTAGCCTACTTGAAGACGTCTCCTACTTCCTTTGTTGCACACGGAATATACGAGATGAATATGAGGAAATATGAGAAAATATGAGACGTCTACCCCCAAGGCCAAACCTTTGCCTATTCTTGTTACGGAATACGATAAATCGAACGCATCATAATTGTGTACATCCACGCTAAAAAAAGTTCTTCCTTTTGTTTATGTCCAGCCAGCTGAGTCATTGGCTAGGAGAAGGAAGCCTTACATAGATTTGACCTGCTCTTATAGGTGAGAAGAGTTTCCCCAGAGCTGGTGTTATTTACACCGAAGTTGTTTCCTTCATTACAACATGTCAGAGGAGATGACAATGCTTGAAGCATATATCACTGGAACTTTTCCAACAAGTAATGGAAGAGGCGATGAGGTCGGTTGTTCTTTACTTTATGTGTTTTCGCAAAACCCAGTATTGACTTGATAAGTGAGTGGTGTAACAAGATCTGAGTTCTACTCTAGTAAAAGTAACATACCTAATCTTAGCGTGAGCAAGTGGGAATTTTCTTTCTGTATGTATATAATCAAAACCATGCAAAAATAAACGGCTGCACTAAAATACCAACTTAAAAAATAACCTGAGCTGTTGCTGCAGATCTCATGTATGCTGAGTGTGCAAAACGAGTAGTATAGTGGCATTATGAGAACACTTCCTCCGCAATGACATTGTGCTCAATTTTGACCTTGACCTTGACCTTGGCAATCCACATGACAGTCATGTATTAATCACGTGATCTTGACTTTGACTTTGGAAAAACAGTCAACCAGTTTAAACCGGTTTTGACTTTGACTTTGGAAAACCTGCTGGCTGGAAAAACAGTTATAACAGGTTCAAACCGGTTTTTTCCTAGGAGTGAAAGACACGTGGAAAAATCGCCTGATGAGTTCGGAGAGAATCGGAAAAATATTCCAATAGTAATACAGAAATGACTAAACTATTCAAAGAAAAATCGCCTTATAAAATAAAGAAAAGAAAAGGAGTCACTTTTTTTTCTATTTGAAATATATATCAAAAAACTGAACTACAGATAAAGATATCAAAGTGAATGTAATCTTCGCAGTTGAATGAACAACTTAAGCTGTTGAAAACGAACCTGAAAAAAATTCAGGCTTGACCGGGAATCGTAACCTGGCCTTTGCGATGACCGGACGCAACTCTCTATTTTGACCCCACTACACAACAGCAACAGGTAAAATGTAAAGGGAAATAAGTATATTTTGGGACGGCTTAGCGAAGAACCAACCCTGCAAAGTACGTATGTAAATACAGAAATAGGTAAGTAACTAATGTACAACACTTGTAAAACTAGCTTCCGCAAAAAGAAAGAACTGCTACAACTAGTCGATCTCGACCTGAATCCCCAATTGAGCACGCGGGATTAGTGCCAGTTAGGTCGCCAGTTAGGCTGGGGAAATTAAAGAAAGTAAATTAAACTTTAAACAACGGATAACTGGGACAGGGAATACTGTAGGAGCACAGAGGCTAAGTGCCGGAAAAACTGGGAATTATTTTCACTAGTGTAACCAGCAAGGCACGTATAGGCCAATTTCCAGTTAGGCTGTCAGAAAAGGCTAGGGCAGGATATTTAGGGTAAACGAATGGCTAACGACCCTGGCTAGAGGTCTGTAACTTATGTATACATAGAAACCAAATATATTAAGTAAAGGAGCAGGTGCAAAACTGTGATAATCATGAAAGTACATAAGATAAGAAAAGGGAAAATAGCTGAAAACTAGCAGAGCTGAGCTACCGCTTACAACTGAAATAAATGCGGTCAGACGGAGGCCAGAAAAAGCCTGCTAAAAAAAAAACCGAAATGCGGGCAGGAAATCTTTGTAGGAACCAAGGTACAAGCTCAAAGTCCTTACTACGGGACTTTACAATGCAATCGAGAATAGGCTGCTTCTAAAATAAAACAAAAAATTGGTGATATACGCAGCCTTATATACTCCCAGTATGGCGACCCATAGTTCCCCGACCTAGTACCCAGGCCATGTTGTATCTCGTGCCGTGAAAATAGTTGTTTTTGCCTTCTTCGCGGGCTCATTCATCAGAAATAACATGTTCATAAAGCTAATCAAGCCATCTGGAGAGCATGGTATTGTGAGACAAACTTAAAGCAAGGGACACACATACACTAACCCACGGCCTGACCCACGGCCTGGCCGGCACCTGACGCATTCGCACAGCCATATCACCCCTGGCCAGGCTATGGGTTGGTGTATGTGTGCCCCTTGCTTTAAGTTTGTCTTAAGCAATTGTGAGTTCGTAAAAAAACCCCATGGTCGAAATGACCTGAATGGAAATATATGAAATGAGTCATATTTTGAATTGCGGATAAAGATAATAAAGTGCACACGGTCTTCGCAGTAGAATAAACAACTGAAGCGCTATTTTCGCCAAATTCGCCATTTTTGTCAAAATCGCCACTTTGCCATCTCATTTGAATTTTTGTTAAGACTTTCGCGAATGTTCGCCTTTTTGGACAAAATCGCCACTCGCAAAATGGACCCTTTGCTACCTCATAAGTATATTCGCCAAACTTTGGCGAATTTTCCCAATGTTTGCCATTTTCGCCAACGCGTGCCTTTCTGGACTTCTCTCATGTAGCAACACCAATAGATGCCCTTTCCAGTTAACGTTTTTCACCCTCGTCTATACTGCCAATCCTTTTACTGTATATTTTTGTATTGTTTAAATCTCCTCATCAATACACCGTATTCACAAATGGCGGACACGCGGGAAAAAACTGGTGCCTAGTCATGAAAGCGAGGCGTTGGAGGATAAACAAAAATTGCAAATGAAGACTTTCAGTGAACTTGCAGAGTGTTTAGCACGGATTCCACCTAAAATAACTTTGTACGGACTTCTTTTTAACCACAATTACGTGGGATGTCTTCTGCTTTTAATGTTTAGTGTTGATTTGCTGTTTGCAATCAAAAGGGACGCGTATATCTTCAAGGAAACAGGATGATTTCCGAAGCATCAGTTTTTTTCCGCGTGTCCGCCATTTGTGAATACGGTGTATGTCATCATTAATTATTTCCTTGTTTCTCCTTTTAGCAGCTGTTGTTTATGATAAACGAGCTTTTTTGGAACCTAATTCCTGGTTTATTTTACCAGCTTTATTTAAAATTTCATTCACATAATCTGGGTATTTGAAGGTGCTTTACCGCTTGGACCCGATAATAATAATTTTTCAGCATACCTTCTGCTTCCACCAGAGCAGTTCTAAGCGCTTCTTTAGCAATGATCTTGTGTTGCATAACAGACTTTGAGATTTTCTTTGTACACTGCACTAACCTATCCCAGGTGCCACCGAAGTGGGGTTCTCTTGGCGGTTGGAAATTCCACTCAATCTCCTTTGGTGCACAAAAGTTTTGTACTCTCTTTTTATTCAGTTGCTTAAGGCATTTCTGCAGCTCATTATTGTCCCGTAAAAGGTTAGGTCCATTATCACTGCATATTCTTTATGGCCCCCACGTCGCACAATGAGCCTTATCAATACCATAATGAAATGACCCGTTAAAGATCATTTACTAGTTCAAGATGGAAAGCTCTTGCAGATGGAAACATATAAACAAAAAACCGTACACCTTACTCCCACCACGTCTCTTCTTAATAAAAAATCAACTGCAGACTGTCTTTGAACACCATTTCAGGTTCAAGCCTACACTCAGGTAAGTTTCCCATTTGCCGCTCCTGGGGTTTTACTGTCTGACGATAGAAGTAATTGCACTTAAACTTTACGCCTCTCACAGCCTGACGGCAATGGATAATCCAATGCTCCTGTCTACTTTGATTCAGTATATGATGGATGGTGGTAAGCACGATGCATGTCCTCGATGATCAGCTGCCCAAGCTCATGATGTGAGTCAATTATTTTCGGGTGTCGTGTCTTGTACGGGAGGGCTTGCGCCTTTAGCAACCTTCCACCGACTACCATAAGTCAACTTTCTATTCTCGGATCAAAAGATTTGATCCTGCTTTGCTTATGTACCTGTTGACCATTTTCCAGGTACCTTATCTCTTCGCCAATTGACTCTACTTGCGCCCTCTTCACTAGCTGGTTCTGAGCAGTTCTCAGCTTTTGGCTATCGTATGACGAAGTTCCTTCTTTACACGTGCATTCTTTGCTAATCGCATTGCGTACTCCAGTATTCTACTTAGTTTAGTTAGGGACGAATATCTTTTCCATCCCAACACAGGCTCAGTTTCCTGGGAAACTCCGACTCACCTTAGCCTTTTCCTTTCTCTTTTTGCGTCTTCCAGTGGTGCTTAAACTTTCTTTTCTGTCCAGCACTCGGCCGCTTTGTATAGGAACTCTGGGCCAGGGCTGTAACGATGCTTCACCTTTAGTTCTGCAGGGTGGAGTCCTTGGGTGATATCATCAGCAGGATTATCACCCTCCGGCGCGCATCTCCATGTGTCCGCCTCTGGTACAGTTTCCACGGTTACTCATGATCGTGTGGATCTCGGATACTCGATTCCCCACGAACGCCTTGTAGTTGGGTCCGTCTGGTCGGGTAACACTGAAAAGATACGTGTTCATTCATTATTTATGCGGTATTTCCTAGCTGTCAATCACGAGCACGTGTGAAAACAGGAGGCGGAGGCACATCTGTTTTATTTCTTTGATTTAAGATCATTCTACAAAAATCGCAAATTGTATATGGAAATGAATTCAATGCGTAATGATCAACTTTTGTACAAATAATATCTATATTCATAATTAAGGTAATATGCCTGGACAAAGCAAACATACTTAATGAGCATTTCTCAACTACTGGCGAAAAACTGGCCAACGAATTGCCGAATACCAACTTGACTTAAAGTAACGTTCATGTTTCTTTCGTCATGCCTTATGTTGTGAGCATAAATTTATCGTACGAGAGTATTGGTAGCTTGATGGCTAAGTTGAGAGCCGATAAAGCCTCTGGGCCCGACAGTGTTGCCCCAAAACTTTTAAAGTTTACTGGTGACTCCATTATTCCATCCTTGCTGTCTGTGTTTAATATCAGCGCCACCTACAACACTGTACCGGCTACAATGAAAGTGACAGTGAAACTGTTAAGCAGAAGTCTATGGTGGCGTCAGCTATTACCACCCATGTCACTGGACAGGGACTTGGGAACCATCACCAGTGGGCGTATTGAAAAGGTCATTCCACCAAGCTGTTGCTAGTGAAGATATCGGATGACTGGAAACAAGCACGTTGTTGTAGGCGTGTTTATAACGCGTTTGACGCGATTCCCACTTCATTTTGCTCCGAAAACTGCGGAGTCTTGGTGTAGCTGGGGACTTATGGTGTTGGGTAAGGGATTATCTCTGTGGAAGAACGTAAGTGACAACGATTAATGGGTGTCAATCTCAAGTTATGCCAGTTACTTATGGGGTGCCACAGGGGTCTCTGCTGGGCCTCATCCTGTTTTCCCTTTTTTGTAATGACCTGCTCTATATCACTGAGGGAATAGATGGTGACCCACAGCTTCACATGTACGCAGACAATACCACCGTTTATGTCTCGGCTCCGACTTATGATCTGGTGGCTTCCAAGTTAAATGAAGACCTAGCAAGGCTATATACATAGTGTTGGGAGAACTGTTTACTCCCCATCCTACCAAGAAGGAGTGTATGCTGCTCAGTAGACGCAGCTGGCAATTGACTGAGCCAAAACAAGCTATCAAGATGGGTGATTAAGTTATCGAGGAGGTTGTTTCTACAAGATGCGTTGGTGTCCAGATACTCAATGCTCTTAAATGGGATCATCATGTATCGGAACTAGCGAAGTCGTTTGCGCAGAAGTTGAACTTACTTAAATCAACTTCCTGCCTAGACAGGCGAGAACTGATTTCTATTTTGGTGTTATTTTGCCCTCTGTTACGTATGTGATCAAGTACTTTTCTCAAATCTGGAATCTATACATGAAAGAGCGGCAAAAAACAATATATAACCTAGATTGGTGTACGCCAGGCAAGGTGGTTCCTACCACAGCAAAATGGAATAACTTTAGTTAGTGATTATGTATGAGAAACGATTTTTTAATATTTTTAGCACATCAGGATTATTATCATCTTTTACCATGTCCTATGAACTGTCTTTTTGAAAAGTATGTAAGTAGCTACGATCTCCGGAGGAAAAACATGGTCAAGAAATCATGCTCATACAGGTCAATTATTCGGTGGAATGTCCTTGAAAACCAAATGAGATCAATTCATGACACTGACGCTTTTAAAAAGTCACTCAAGTGTATTTTTAAGCCACATACATTATAATGATGTACTGTGTAGAATTTTTATTGTTATATATACGTATAATTCTTATAATAGTCTTATTCAGTGATTAATTAGGAAGTTTAATTTTCATAAAAAAAGTTTAATTTTATTGTTATGCAACTTGATGAATTTTTTAATCGTGTTTAAATAAATGCTATTATTATTATTATTATTATTATTATTATTATTATCAAAAGCTTTTAACCGGTTTTTGAATCTGCAATTCCTTGAGTCCACGGTTTTTCAATCCTAAGGTCAAGGTCACGTGGTTATCGTGTGGTACCCAAGGTCAAGGACAAAGGAAATGAGTTAAAAAAAAAAAAATGAAGACAGTCAACACTTGTTGGGTTAAAACTCTACGTGCCACACGTATTCTGGTAAGCATTAGTGGTCTCCAACTGGAATGGCAGTAACACAAGACTTTCTAATCAAATGTTTAAAATTTCATTTCCTCTATCAGGCATATGAGATCACAGTTCTGTACTCTGACGGGAGCAAAATAGCGCTTCGGAAAACATATCAAGAGTTTATTGAATTGCAGGTGCGTGTCTTGAGATCTGAATTGATAAATATTTTTTAAAAATCATAATTTTATATCACGATTGTTGGTCATTGTCGGTGAACAACTGATGTAGAGTCTTGTAGTTGTGATTTTTGATTTTTGATTTTCGAAGTATGGAGCTAGCGATTTTTCATTTTAGTTATGGTACCGGTGAGATTCTCGCAAATATTCTGAACCTTTTTTTTTGCATCTTGTGCTTATATTACAACTTTTCACCTCGAATAAATCCAGCGTAGACAATCATGGCGAACAACTGAGCTGCATGTATTTGGCGTGTAAGAACGCACGAAACGGCTCCAAGGCCTGCTGTCTTCTGATTGAGCAGAAAAACAAGCGCCAATCAGAAGCCAGGACGGCTGCGACCGTTTGGAACTGGTCTGTTATGACAATGTTCCCAGGGGTTCTACAACCCTTACTTGATACAAATTACAAGTTATTAACGCCATCAACATTGTGAACATAGCTCTCTCTTAAAATTTCCTTTAATTGCAGAGCACGGTTTATAATTTGCTTACGCGAGAGGGTGGTTATTCAAAGAAGACTGCAAAATCTCTTGTAAAAACCTTACCAGGTATTTTTTCATGGTACTGATACGCTCATAATAAAATCATTGTTGATCAGAAAGCAATGTTTCATTCGATTGACTGTTGCTTTAAAATCTTGCATCGAACCACTCTGATGCCATTAAAAACTGTAGTTTTACTATCAAATCACTCATTTAGTTGAAATTGTAGACTTCGTATCGAATGAAAAGATCTATAGTCTTTCACATACTTCATCAAGTTCATGACCTGAGTTTTATCTATAAGCAACGGTACTTACCTAAGCAAAAAGACATCATTCTAGTTTATTTTTTGTAACTCTATTGCAGTAGTTTCTATAACACCAGTTTTTCTCAAAATCTATTCTAGTAGTTCTGAGTTTTTGAGGGGTTCAAGAATCACAGAGAACACAAGCAAGCGCAGTTTCAACCATCCTCATAATATTTTCCTCTGTTTACACATCTTAATTACAACTTTCTTCTTGTTTTTATCAAAAAAGCTACCTGTGTTCGTGTACCGTAAACTTTAAAATGCATGTTAATTGAGCCCCCTGTGTTATTGAGTTTTATAACACTAGTTAATAAAGCTTTCTTTTTTGCAGAGTTGAATAATTACTTGTCTCAAAGTCTCTTCGGGGAGGACGATTTAAAAAAGATTGAGAGATTGGAAAATTTCATTAAGGTAAAAAAGTAGGTCAGTTAGGATCGAGGGAATTTTTTTTGTGTGGAGCAAAGACTTATTTAAGACAATTCAGCTCACTCTACTAGACAAAATCTACGATGCTTGACGTTACACTAACAGCAACTCTTTTTCCATTTCTAGGAATTGCTTATCCTTCCAGCTGTGGTCCGAAATTCCGAAAGCGTTAATAAATTTTTTGGCGCCTTTATGGAAAAACCAACCAAACGTGAAAGGTTTGACCGAAGAAAGTTACACTAAAACAAACTTCGGGTGACTGTAACTTAAGAATCTAACAATAACTACATTTTGTTTTTAGGACAGAAAAAGAGGAGGAGTTAAAAAAATTTGTTAAAGTGACGGAAGTTTTAAGTGGTACGTAAACCTAATGAGTTTGAACAAAGTCCAATTTCCACTCTCTATCCATCCATCCATCCATCCATCCATCCATCCATCCATCCATCCATCCATCCATCCATCCATCCATCCATCCATCCATCCATCCATCCATCCACCCATCCATCCATCCATCCATCCATCCATCCATCCATCCATCCATCCATCCATCCATCCATCCATCCATCCATCCATCCATCCATCCATCCATCCATCCATCCATCCACCCATCCATCCACCCATCCATCCACCCATTCTTCTATCCATCCATCCATCCATCCATCCATCCACCCATTCTTTTATCCATCCATCCACCCATCCATCCACCCATCCATCCACCCATTCTTTTATCCATCCATCCATCCATCCATTCATCCATCCATCCATCCATCCATCCATCCATCCATCCATCCCATCCATTCCATTCATAAAAATATTTGCAAGAGTGACGATCGTTTAAGGTCTTTCCTCTTTCAATACAAATTCGTTGTCCCAATCACCACTCTTGAACCATCAATTTTAGGGCGAGATCCTCTCCGAACCTTACCAAAGAATCCAGTGCTGGGCATGGTTCATAGGACGATCAAGGCAGAGTTACCTCCAGATGACCAAAAGCCCGAAACCAATGAGATTTTTACACGTCCTGGTCTGTTCGGGAGATCAACTTCTGACCAAGGTTTCAAGGCAAACACTTCTCGTTCACCAGTCGCAAAGAGACGGTTTAGCGCTGGTGCTGACATTGTCAGTATTTCCAAGGAAAACTCAGTAAACTATTTTTGCCCTGATGCGCCGCACATTCAGTCACCTGGCAAGACGAAAGAGAAACAATCCAAAGGTGATGAAACTACTGGTTATACAGAAAAAACCAAGTCTGGAATAGAGGTACCTTGTATCCAAACGGCATCAGATCAAAATGAAAAAAGCCCCAGAGGAACGAAGTATTTGGCTGTTTCGTCATATGCTGGGGAAGAAAGTGGTGTGGTGTCACCTCAATATGGAGAAGAAGTTGAAATACTGGAGAAACGCTCCGAAACACAAGGCAAAGAAATATTGATCGCTATGTCGGAAAGAACAATCGTGGGAGAGAGTGACATGGAATTCCACGTGCAAAAACAAGAAAGGGTATTAATCTCTCAGTTCAATTGCTATTCTGCGCATAAAATCTCTCAACAGATTATAGTATACCTAAAAAGATATGAAGATCTCTGTGTTGAGTTGTTGTGGACAATCTCCTTATCATTTCCCATTTTAAACTTCATGGTTCTGTTTTCTGTTGACAAGCTGAGTCACGTGACTATGGGGCGCATCAAAAGCATGAGCAAACATGAAATAAAACGAGCTTAGAACTCGATAGAGGCGGAAATATTTGAGGGCAAAGGCTAGACAACTACATATGTACGTTCATGCGCACGGAACCTAGAGTCACTTTTCCCGCCCATTGCTTCCCTGAGATCCTCTACAATGCACCTACACATGTAAGCATTGACAGGTTTAAATGCTTGGGAATGTTGACTTAAAATAGGACAAGTTTCATTATCCCACTCTTTTGTAACTTTATTAGAAACGGCATACCTACAATGAAAACGAATGTTTCAACTTGACTTTTTCAGTCCGCACACAAAGGAAACGACCCTTCCAGGTCCAAAACTGGCCTGCTAGCCTGTATATATCTTTCAGTTAATGTTATAATGCAATTTGCATTAAGCGGATCAATATTCCCTGTAGGTGTTGAGCTTCCAAGACCTTTCTTCCCAAAGTTGCTGTAAAACAAACCTGTATTATTTTAGTTGACATTATCAGGGTTCCCGTGGGTGTCTCCTGAAAGCAGGGGTCATTGTAATTTCCGCCCCTATTTCGGGTCAAGTCTTGTTCTAGGCAAAAAATTTTGGAATATCTTCTGACCTTAACTGATTAAAGAAAATTAGGCTATTTGAACGCTATACCGGATAGCTTATCATTTCACATGAAAAAAAATCCACCGAGAGGTCATGATCCACTTTCAAGATCTGCGTGGTCCTACTTCGCTCCGTCGCAGAAACCGCTCCGAAATCACCGTTTTTGTGTGTGAACCAAACCCCTATCCGATGCAGTTTTCATGCAGGCGTACTTCCGCATTTCTTTCTATGTACAATACAATATGCGGAACCAAATGAGCGTGACTGTTATTATTATAAAAGGTGCTAACCATACTTTTTTGTTACTAAGTCGCTGGGGGGAACCGGTGAAAAAGAGTCAGAAGTAACGGGATCAACTGAAATGAACCGACGAGTCAAGCTAGTTTCAGTGGAAGGAATTCAGAAACGCAAGACGCCAGATAAAAATTATGTAAGTACTACAAACCAGTTAGAGTAAATCACCAAACGAATAGCAAGTTCCATAATGTCTTAATCTTGTTTTCAATTTTAACGGAATTAAGCACCAGTAAACCTGAGAAAATTTAGTAAGTTTCGTCGGACTTTGGACTTTCCTTGTGCAAATAAATTTTGCAATTACCGTTCATATAATCAATGATGAGATTGAAAGGGGACAGGCTGTTGCTGCCCCTGCAATGAGGATAACAAATGATGCGTGCAATTACCACTAACAACCCGATATACCCAAAGCAAATAAATGTCTCTCTATTTATCATCTAACTGTTGTTGTTTTAATTTATGGCTCATCAGTACACGCAGGCATTTACTACGGTCAAACCCACCAAAAAACGTACATCAATTACTTAATTGTACGGAATGGCTCCCTGTTGTTTGTGTATTAGATGTTACTTGTTTTTGTCAAAGGGCTTAAGAAATATCCTAAATACAAATGCTAATTTGCTCTCTTCTAGGTTTACATTCTTAAAGTGCTGTGGTCGGACGGAAATATTAACATCATCTACAGACAGTGCAGTGATTTCTTCTTTCTACAGGTTGAAAACATGATAAGTATCTTACATAAATTTCTTTTCCTCTTGGGCCTGTTTTAGACGTTGTACTTCTGATGGACTGTGTCTAATGCAAATTGAGGGCTATGAATTGGTTTTATCACCAGGCCGCGGTTGTTCAAACGTTGGATAGCGCTATCCAGCGGTATTACGGAAATCAATTACGCTATCCGCTGGATAGTGATTTATCCGGTGGATAGCGCTATCCGACGTTTGAACAACCGGGGCCAGAACTACTATCAAATGTTTCCACTGTGTTACCCCCCCATAAATAATGCCGTTACTTACTTGCTTACTAAATGAACAAATGGACTTTGTTCATAATCATTATATTTGGCACAGTGAAGTTTGACCTAACAGAGTCCTTAGAAGGCAAAGTTCTCTTCCGCATTTTCCAAGCAACAATTTTTTTTGGTCGTCTGGGCCACCCAGACCTCAACTTCACGAGTGAGAATACTTGCATAACAGATTTATTGCAAGTTCTTCCGTTATAAAGAACAACGGAAGAACTAAAACTCGCTGGAATCATGTTGAAACGTCCAACTTCATGAATAACGGAAGAACTAAAACTCGGCGCATGAATCGCGCTGAAACCGCCAAAAATGTTTAGAACACTCCATTAATAAGACAAAGAGACAAGTTCAGATGGTTTATATGCATTTTGAATGCTAGTTTTGCGCCCTAAATAACGATCGCTCACCCATGTCATAAACTTGTCAATCCAGCATGGTATTGTTCCCGATGAAATTAAAATCGTTCGCGTGATACCTATTTTTAAATATGATGATCAGTCGCTTTTCACCAACTACCGACCTATCTCGGTGCTCCCTAGCTTTTCAAAATTCTTTGAAAGAGTTATCTACAATCGTTTAATGCAATATCTGATGAATTTCAACATCCTCTGTAGTAACCAATACGGCTTCAGGAATAATCATTCCACTGCACTCGCGCTAATCGACTTGCATGATAAGATCTCCACGGCCTTTGACCGAGGTGAATTTTCCGTAGGTTTTTTTCATGACCTCTCAAAAGCCTTTGACACTGCAAATCACATCATCCTTTTTGATAAACTCGAACATTACGGTATTCGTGGCTTAGCGCTGGACTGGATAAGAAGTTACTTTTCAAACAGAAAGCAATATGTTGAATATAGTGGCCACCGTTTGTTAAGAAATGAAATCTCTTGTGGGGTCCCTCAGGGTTCTATCCTCGGACCTCTATTTTTCTTACTGTACATTAACGACATCAACAATGCTTCTAATCTATTAAATCTGATATTGTTCGCTGACGATACCAATGTATTCATGTCACATAAAGATCTGAACTATCTCTCAGATACGTTAAACTTAGAGATGGACAAACTGTCAATCTGGTTTAAAGCAAACAAGCTTTCTCTAAATCTTAAAAAGACTAAATTTAAAGCGTTCAATTTGTAATATTCAAATCAGTATAGATAATCAAAATATTGTTGAAGTAAACGAGACAAATTTTCTAGGCGTAATTTTGGATGAAAGCCTAAATTGGAAGTCGGAAATATCACACGTTGCAAGTAAGGTTGCGAAGTCAATCGGTATAATATCTAGATGCAGCTTCTTTCTTCCTAAATCGTCTTTACGTATGCTCTACTATTCCTTTATTTATATATCCTTATTTTTACTACTGCAATATCAAAACCAATCTCCGCCGCCTTGTTATCCTGCAAAAGCGCATTATTAGTATTATCAATAAATCAAATTTCAATGCTCATACTGAACCCATCTTTAAGGACCTCGGTATACTAAAATTTAATGATATCCATTTGCTTCAACTGGGCCAATTTATGTATTCTTGCAAAAATTCATTCTTACCCCCAAAGTTTAATAACAATTTCTCTCAAAGCAATCAATTCCACTCTTACAATACAAGAAATTCCCAGGCCTACCGTCTACCGTATTGTCGTACAAACACGAAGAAGTTCTCGCCCTTTTTTCAAGGGCCTAAGTTCTTTAATTCACTTGACAACTAGGTCATCAATTCTCAATCCCTCTCCTCTTTTAAGAAAAAACTGAAGATTAAATTATTGAGTAAGTATGAAAACAGTTCATAAATCTCTCCATCTTCGACTTTTTGGCCCTCTTGTCTTCAATTAATGTGAAACAGCTCTAGCTCATAGTTCGAGGAGGCCTAATCTCTCATAAGCTCCTATAGTTTCTGTTAGGTCTCCTCGCCACTTCTTTTTTTCTTCTTTTCCTATATTTTTTGTAATTATTTTGTAGCAAATAAAATAAAATAAATAAATAAAATCGCTAAAATCCCCATACAAAACCCAATAATATTTCTTTAACGCAACGATTGTTACTCGTGAGCTCGGGATCAACTAGTGTACTCCGCTCTGGATATATTAGTACGTGATCAAGGCATGGTGGAAAGTGGTGTGACAGAAGGTGGGGATAAAACTGCCAGTTTTCACTTTCGTGGATGAATACAACACTGACCAACATGGAATTAAAGTTCTGTTGTTATAAAGCTTGAAAAGTATAGACATTGTTCTGACTGTTTTGATTCATTCTATTGTCACTGTCTGAAGTGAAGGTCTGGGAATAAAACACCTAATGTCAGGTCACTCAGGAAACCAGTTTGTTTTGTTTTCCTGCAAGTCCTGAAGTTTCGTCGAGGGAAACATCTGGACTCGAGGAAAAACAAAGGCAACTGTAACTGTTCCTTAATTATTGTTTCCGACAAGTCGTCAGTCGCTTTTTTATTATATACTTTGCCAACACATTATCTAAGTTAACGGCCAAATTAAAGTAATTTTTTCTACTCGATGTCAACGAGATACCTAACATCAAAGTTCCACTGAAGGCGACTGGATTTTATCATATAAAACACAAAGTTGGGTCATGAGCTATATTAGAACCATACGCAAAGAGGGAATAGAATTATGTTATTTTGCTGAAAATAATGAAAATTTTTCCTATAGGAATACCTCAAAAAAGAATGTCCGAAGGGCTCTGGCAAAGAAATTCCCATGTTAAAAGGTGAGGGAAAAAATGACCTAACTGAAAGATTCCCAAATTAATTGTTCATAATAAAGGAGTGAAGGATTTAGTTGGTAAAGAAACTATGGTGCTATGTTGTCGTGGGAAGAAATCTGAAGAAGCGACTTCAGCTTATATATCTTTTTACTTTAGTAACTTGTATGACTATATCAACTCATTCAATTGACACAAATTTTTGTTTACTGACTATGGTCGTAAACATTTAGAATATCTGCGGTCAAGTTACGAAACTGGCCCAAATGCAATTTTGGTTCGATGTTGTTCTTTTTCAGGAAGAAAATTTTCTGAAAACTGCCAGTTTTGTTTCAAGGACGGAACATGCAAACGAAGACAATCTTTAAACAATTATTTTCACGTGAGTATAGAGACAAGATGATACCAAATTATAAAATTGTTGAGATCTACATTATCCCTAGGTTACAATGGCGAGTTCTACAAATCTAGTGGATTATATTGCTGGCTTATTCTCGGCATTTTTTTCTGTGTTATTTACAAGGACCTTATCAACGCTCCTGATGACATTTCAAACTGCAAAGCTATCCTTCTCTTTTGCCGAGTTCGCCTCAGTGATTTGCGTCCTCATGGAACGTAAGTAACATAAGAGAGGTTAAGCATCACGTTTACGTCAAACAGCAAACACGAATTGGTGCCACGTGACTAAGTTTCCCCATTGCTTGCCGCTTACTGTTCATTATTTCTACGCATAAATTAGTAGTTTCAGGTAATTCTTTATTCATAAGAATTGTTTTGAGCTCTTTTTATCTGCTCATTTTCTATTTTGAGAAATTCTCAACTTGAATCTGACGTTTGCCGTCTGCCGTCTCATGAAGCTTAAACTCCATATTATATTTTATCCCTCATAATTTTCTCTCTGATCCTAGATATATTGATTTTGATTAATGCCATTAACACACTATCATAATAATTATTATTGTTTTTACCGGTGTTCATCGCCGTCATTATTATCGTCATCTTCATCGTCATCAACGACTTTATCTCAAGTGTTAAGTTAAATAATTTCAATTTTACTCAGTTATATTAATATGGAGGGTAATCTTTTCTGTCTGCATATCTGTTAAACAAAATAAATTAAATGATGCCGAATTGAATTTGGTGATGAAAAGTGCATGATTAAAATATTACAAATGGAGATAAAACAGAAGGATTTTTATACATATGTTAAGCCACAAATTGTTCAAATCTTCGTTTCATATTGTATTTTATACTTGTTTCATTTTCAGATCTAGTAAAACTGATGACAAGACCAATGAAAGTAAGTGACTGAAATCTTTTTCCCTAGGGGTAACACAGGCCATTTTTGACATGAGAAAGTCCATGTATTCTCATTGCCAGGGCAAATCCCCAACATGCTAACTAGGATAAGCAACTACACAAACTTTGAAAGGATGATGCAGTGGCTACAGTGCTTTCCGTGTATGTAAGAACAATTTTTTTATGTGTGAATTTAATTTTACTTTTCCTGTTTTACTACAGGTAATGATCCCGAAATTGTTGAGATATCAGGACCTGTGGTGTTTGAGCAGTACATAGTCATTGCTGACTACAAAAAGAAGAACAAGAACGATATTTCACTTACAGCTGGTGACAGTGTTGATGTTCTCGAAAAGAGCGACTTTGGTTAGAGATAAGCCGGGCAATTTTTCAGCCAACTTTGTTTAGAAACGCTCGCTGACTTAAATTTGTTGTCTTAACCTTTTACGATTATCTGGAGCGTTCGCTTTTTAATTAACCTCAAATAATTTAAATCTTTAGTGATGATAATTTAATACATGTACAATTTTTTTAAAGGTTGGTGGTTGGTTGATCATCAAGGCGAGATAGGCTGGGCTCCTGCGTCACATTTGGAGCCTACTGATGATGGCGCAGAGATCACTGCCTCCAAAATCTTTGCACCTGGTCAAGGTAAGATTGTGAGTATTATTAAGCAAGTGGACATAAATCTGTAAATCTGATCGTGCTACGTAAAAATTACCTTTGCAAGACATCAACACGACACCGTTCTTGATAGTTCTTGATATATTTTTGCTGATCAGATCTTCTACGCATGCTACTTCCTGCGGCATATTCGTTAACCGGACTTTTCAGTTAATGTCTAGTTGTTTCACCAGGCTTTTGCTTCATTATTTAAAGGCTAAGATTAGCGCAGGCCTTTTTTAGTAATAGAACTCCGATATTCAGCAAATAACAACAGCAAACTTTATTAATAAACAGATAATATTATAGAAGCATTGCCCGCAAGGCTAGCAAGGCTATTTACAGTTTACAAATAAATGAATCAAATGAGGACTAGATAACACGATAGAGGAGAAGAATTAAACAAATAAATTGAAAAAGTAGAAACTAATAAGCAAGAATTTATTTTTCGACATTTTTGGCTAATTTTACCTTGTTAATTAAGATGGGCATATCAATATAGTATATTGCGGATTTTTTTTTTGACTGATGCGATAGGATATCTCATTCCACAGCTTAGCCCCAAAGCGAGAGAAAGAAAGTTTACATAATTCTAGATCGGAACTGTTTACATGAAATTTCCTGAAACCGATGCTTTTGTGTTGTAAGAGTGGCAACTACTTGTCTTGTGAAATAGATTTATAATGCCAGAAGGTGCCTTATTGTTATGGACATCATGCATAAGATTAGATATAGTCTGGTAATATAAAAAGTTCAAGGGTAAAACGTTGGCGTCGATGAAGAGAGGTATTGCGCGATCGCCTTTAATTTCATTTCTCTGTTTTGCACTGCCCAACTCTACTGCGCATCAGTTTTTCAAGACGGCGCAGATTTACATAGAACTCGACGAGATCTCGCGCGTCCAGAGCCAACTTCAGCCGCGTGCACCGTTTGCATTACGGTTGACCAGAATACGTGTGCATGCTACCTCCCTCCTTCTGTTAGGAGGTGAAACTTCCTTAATCAAAGCAATATTATGAAAATGTAAAATAGGTTGATTTTCAACCATTGAATTGATAAGATCTTCTTCAAAACGTCACGGCAATGTTCGTTGTGTAATTTTTCTATCTTTTTGCAAAATGTTGTGGGGAAAAGCCTGAAAACAGCACTTCATAGCAGCTCGAGTTAAAATTTTCAGAGGGAGAAATGCCCTTTCAAGGTTTGCGCCTAAATTTGGTGCTCAAAGTCCCTTACCTTTCTTTTAAAGGCAATTTCAGCTATTTTACACTGACCTAAATTTCAAATCTTTCCGAGGAAGCATGCCCCAGAACCCCCTAGAACTATGGTTATGTTATAGCGTTTGGTTCGGTAAAACGAAAGGCTACAAAATGGATAACGACCCAATCGCCAGTCCATCCAATGTGTTGAACTTACGGGATAGGGTGCATTTGGGAAAAAATATCATGACTACTCCCCTACAAGCTAGGAGCATATTGGTTGTTTTGCCTAAACTATGCCAATTTATTATAGAAAGATTGGTTCATAATGTCTGTCAGCTACGTAGCCATATGCGGCATCAATAAATGATATATAATTATTTCTTTTTTATGCACAGAGGAAGCATATCAGGCAATGCAAAGCTATGAAGCAAGAGCTGAAGACGAACTTTCTTTTGACATTGGTGTTACGCTCAAAGTTGTAGAAAAAAACTTAGATGGATGGTGGCTAGCCAGGTAAACAATGGTGAAATGTTTCCTGGGAGTTGTTAGTGTCGTTGCGTATTTGCAATAGTAAATTAAGTGGTTTAAGAACAATGCCGCCATTACACTGAAATCTTACACTCAAAATTTAAAGCGCGATTGCTTCTTTATTACAAAGGTTCGTTCAGTGTTCTCCTTTTACATGCACTATGCTAAAAGACGTTGCATCTCATTTTACTTTCGCCAACTCTATCGATTTCTCGTGTGGCGGAACAATATGTTTTAAACCCAATCTACCAAGTACTTTCCTCGGCGCCTACTAAATTGCTCAACAAACTATGGAGTGATACAAACAAGCGTAAACAAAATTTTAAAAACTCATCTCATTTTTCCCTTCTTTAAGATACCAAGGTAAAGAAGGCTGGGTGCCTGCAGTGTTTTTGTCAAGAGTAGTTGATTCTGATGATTCTTCGCCTTCATTGAGTGGAAAAATTTGTGAACTGGGGGATATCGCGTCCTCTGAAGAGGGTAGGTGATTTGTTACATAGTGACATTTAATAGTGACAATTTTTTAACATTTTATTCACCCCTTGTAGCAACTCGGATATTAAATTTTCATGGCAATGAGAGACCGACACGCACATTTCAGTCATATAACGAGAATTTATGTTTTCGTTTCGATCTTTGCGGTACTCCTATTTTGATAGCTTAATAGTCCCCCATGCAAACGTGAAACAAAGGCATCACTTACTTATTACATGTAATTAATTTTTAAATACTGTAGGTGTTGGTCTGGTTGCTATGGGAATTGTACTCGGGCTTACCCCCTCAATACCTACCCGACAATCACGCTAACCATTCGGTGGCTTCCTATATAATCCATGTAGCTTTATTTGATGAATTTCTTCAGTGATTTTTCTTTCTCATCGTAGTTTTTGAAAATGGTGATAGTGAGAGAGGAAGAAGATCACTCCCCTCAAGGCGAAGCATGGTAAGGTTCTTGCATGGTCAAATTTGTCTTCAAACTCTCTTAACCTCAGACAAAAATAATACAGTCAAACCCCGCTTTACGGACACCCACCTAATAAGGACACCTCATTATTACGGACAGTTGACTGTGTCTCTGGGGAAAGAAAACCCTTAAAATTTTCTCAAAATTCAACCCGCTCATTAACAATTATTCCTCGAGCCCGAATGGGCTCTGAGTAAATAGCCCATGAGGCCGAGGGCCGAATGGACTATTGACTCAGAGCCCATTCGGGCTCGAGGAATAATTGTTTTAGTAAAATCCTACTAGCTGGTCAAAAATATCGAGACAAAACAACTTTAGCTGGATAAAGCTAGACTTTAATCCTTTTTTGCCGCCAAAAGGCCGGCGCTTTTTGCTACTAGTGGGCTATAACATATAGCCTAGTGGCAGCTCAACCAATCAGAACGCAGCATTGATAATAGACCACTACTTGGATTTTACTAAATACGGATATCCCTTTAATATGGACAGTGTCTATGGCCCCCTCAGTGTCTGTATTCGCTGGGTTTGATTGTAATATTGCACAGGTGATATGAATCCCTGAGGAGACATCTTCCATTTTTATCCAGTGTTGCTTTTAATCGCTACGATCTTTCTTCCTTTATATAGTTTCTGTAGAGAAGTTATTACGAGCGAGTTATTAAACAGCCTTAAGATAAGGATCCGTTCATTCTTTCGGTATTAAATCGTTGCGGTTAATTAATTGGAAGAAGGTTATATATTAACAACATGTTTTTTTTAAAAAAAACCTAAAAGATTGTCAGTTTTTTTTGCCAACGGAACAATAAAGCAGGCGTTGAAAGAACCGTCTGAACTTTTCCTTCCTCTCAGGTAACTTCCTTCTTTTGCAATTTGTTAATTTCGATCCAAAATGTAATGAATCACTCGAGAAAGCTTTCTTAGATTTAAGCTACGGAGCAGGAATTCAAGTTTTAAAAACAGGCGTTTCTTGTACAATGTCGTTTTTAGGAAAAATTCGACTGAGATTGAATCAAAAAGGTTGTGTCTATAATATTATTCACGGATATTCCCAACTTTTGCTAGTCTCGTGTCGTAAGGCTACGCTCCTTTCGTCGTTGCGATAACACAAAGAACAGCTGCGAAAGAAGTAATACTCTACCGAAACTTCTTACCAAAATTTTGGGCAGTTTATGGCGCAATTCTTCAATTGCGACAAAGAAAATCGCTGAAAATGTAGTAAGTTGAATTTCTGGAGGTGGAAAAACTTTGCGAACCAAGCATCTCCCGTGCAGCTTTTTCCAGCAATTCATAAGGGAGCAGTTTCCGGAGAGGTCAGGAAACTTCAAGCGGTTATAAATTTCTCAGCAATTGCATCTTTGAGATACTTAAAACATTATTGGTCCGTTTGCAAAAAACTTGTGAATGAGAGTTTCTCTTTTTTTTTCAAAAAAACGTTGTGATTGAAAAATCTTCTTCTAAGTGCCCGGTTCGAGAATCCGCACTGACAAAACACTCATTGAATTTTTAGTATACATCATGTTGCAAGAAAATTGCTCAAAACCATATTAATTAATTTTCTAAATCAAGTTTTTGCCTAATTAATTCCTCCTTACGGACACTTTATTTTAGCCTTATATACCCATACTACTGCGAGAGTGTCTGTGCATCGACCTACCCACATCAAACTTCAAATGTTTACTAAAAATGGGTCGCAAGAATAAGGTTGAGGAGTGCTTTCGATGCTCACACTTACTCTAAGACTTACGAATTCTGAATCTTGAGAGTATCTACAAACTTAGAATAGGAAAATTTATGTATCAATACAAATACGGCTCACTTTCTGATTGCTTCAATAAGATGTGTTCTGTGACACGCCAGGTCCATTCGTATGACGTCGACTCTTTTATTTACTTCATTGCAGGACTAATATATAAAGTAATTTCTCTATCATTTTCCAAGGTCCTAAATTCTTTAACTCTCTAAGTTTTGAAATTCAAAATGCAGCAAGTATCGCTGCCACCTTTTGCTGTAAGCTGAAAGCAATCATCTTATCATAAATATTCATTTAATTTTCTCTTTACCTTTGATTTTCATTTTCATTTTTTCCCAATTTTCCCTTTCGCTTCGCTTTTTTAGCCTTACTATGATTAATACAATTCTGCCATTGATTTTTCCATATTTACTTCTGTTTATACTTCTTTGTTTGTAATAGTTAATTGAGGGAGCCTATTCCCTATAAGCTCTGGGGTATTCTTTGGACTTGCTCGCCATACAGGCAAAGCGTTTTAATATTTAAAAGCTGTTCTTGCCATGTATATAGGGTAAAACAATAAACTTGAAATTTTTTGTCGCTTTCCATCTCAGGTTCAGCGATCGATAAAAAAGAAGCCAAATAAAAATACCCCTCCTCATCAGTTCAGTGAAACAAGGACAGCAGAGGAACAAAATCAGGGAGATACAATGTCCTTTTCTAGTGGATATCATTCCTATTCAAGCAGCAGTCTCTCCTCCCTCGTGTCAGATGTTTTTGCACCTGAAGAAGGAGGTGTCGAGGTAACATCGGATAGTTTTGATAGTTGTGTGGTAAGCACTGCTTCAAAACAAGTTTCCTCTCCCTCAAATGTTGTTACAACATCAGCGCGGGCTGAGAAAACAACCGGGTCTTCTGTGAATGGAAGTGCATTGACCTTAGGAAGAAGAAATCCTATCCCATTGCCAAGAAGTAAATCTCCTGGACGCAGCCCCCAGCCGAGAATTGATGAAATTAAAGTAACTCCTGTAGAGTCCATCTCTGAAAAGGAGCAAGAAAATGATTCCCAGAACACGAGGTATCAAGCCATATACACGTACATCTCTCAAGACAAAAACGAAATTACCATCAACGAGGGAGACGTAGTGGAGGTAATTAAGCGGAGCAGCAATGGCTGGTGGCTTTTAGTCTCAAACAATCAACTGGGTTGGGGTCCATCAAATTACTTGGAGCCAGTGTAAATGGGCTGAAAGTACCTTTAGAAAGGGAAACCCTGGACACTTTGCTAATCAGGATTATTCGTTTCTAGGTGTTGTTATTATCAAGGTACTAGTTCGGTAAGTGCAACAGGTGCAGAAACTTGGACCTTGTTGTATCGAGAAGAAGAATGTGAATTCAATTGGTAATAAAACTCAAGCCATTTTCATATTTTTGATAATTAAAATACAGTAACCGTTAACCTATTTTTAAACTGAAAATGAATTTTTTATTATGATATGTTCGTCAGTTTTAACCTCCCGACGTGGAATAACACGATGATGCCATGACGTAGGCTCTGTCAACAAGGGTCTTAAATAAAAGTGAGAATTTCTAGAAAACTGCTTTTAGTATAGAATCATTAAGAACCAGTGTAATAACCGCTTGTTTCAAGTTGGCGGCACAGCACTAAAAAAGCTGAAACTTCTTCATGATGGAATCGCTTACGGATAAGATATCCTCGACAACTTTTTTATGCGCAATAAAAAATTTATTTGAACTCAGAATCAGTCTTAGATAAATACGCTGTCACCACACACAAGATCTTATAATGTAAATAATATACAATCCTGACAATGACGGGATCATTACTGAACAGTACTACTGAATTTTGTAGCCATAGTGATATATTATGTCATAGATAAGAGTGATAGCCAAACTGTACGGCTGACCGTGTCTAATGATTATGGTACAATGAAAACAATCATGACTGGTTTGCACCTGACGTCACGGAGGCCATGTTGGTCGAAAAGAACAAAAGCGTTTCCCTCCACTGTGAATGAAACTTTTTTTTCATGCGGATTCTGCGAAAATAATTTATAAAATTGTTTTGTAAGCCAGCTTTGCCACCTTGTCAGGCTGTTACAAACCAAGAATTAAGTGAACACCCAAGAGAAACTCGTGGAGTTTGGGGTTTTAAAATTCAATTACATCAAAATGTGCAATTGCTTATAGGACAAAAAGGAAACCCAAATACTTAGCACTCTGTCTAAGTCAACAACAACTTCTGTTTATAACCCTTTCTAGGATAAAATCTACCCTGTCCAGCGGCATTTCCCCGCATAGGCTCTTATAAAGGAGTTCATCTCCACTCCTCCGCGAAATTCTTTAATTGTTTAAGTATTAGTCATTTACCTAAAGTACCTTGCGTACAGGTTTTGTTTTAAAACGGTTCATAGGTTAAATAAACCGCAAACATTAAATTATTAGAAAAAGTCAAACTATTAAAGGGCACGAAAAAACTGTCTAATTTTACTTTATTGAATCACTTTCCATGCTCCACAATTTTGCACATTATGACTTCGTTTTTTTGCTGCCAATGATGCATAAACTGTCAACGTCATTATGATTCAAAAGGGCGTAATACGGATAATTTAAAACAGAAAAACACCGAAAATGTTGTCCAATTCTTTCCCCTTTTCACACAAAGGATTTGCATCACAGTTTGCATTTGCGTCTGGGCGAAAAACAGTGCAGTTTGCTGGGCAAGTTCCGTTAACATCTGTCTTAAAACTGGGTGGGTTTTGTATCGAAATGCATTGTATGACTGTTTTTAGGATGAATTCTGAACCGGTTTCCTGAGCAACATTGTAATTGTCAATAAAGCGGGGGAAAGCGTTCAAAAAACAGTCCTATAAGGTAATGTGAGACAAATGAGGCCAATTGAGCGCCCGCCAAATAGTGGAGAGAAAAAAATTAATAAGAAAGTAAGGCATTAATACCTCGCGAAATCCGTATGTACAATGGCGCAAGGGTATCAAAGTTGAGAGAGCTGATCAAAAAGCTTGAATTGATATGATATTATAGCACATTTCGATGCTGGGAAAACGTTTTTTAAAAACTCTTTCATTCACCTTTCCCTATCCAAAACATCCTTGGAGATTCAGGGGCCAGAAGGGCAGTCAGTCGAGTTGGCGAACGAAAGAGCACCTGCACCTTCCAAGGATGCATGTCACAGCAGCTCACAGCATTTCAAAATGTTGAGATGGAATGTTAAACAGTCACAGCAACAGATATTGTGAGAATGTTGAGATAACGTTGTGATTAGGGCTTTATAACATTGATTTTAAGGTGGCAAATGAACAAATGAAAACTTGGAGCGAAGTGGAGAAAGGGGGCAAGCAGATACAAAATTTTATTTGGGCTTCACTTTCATCTCTGACCGTTTAAGTGAGTAATAATAGCCTCTAAAGGTACCCCAGTTAATACCAATACCATCATCACTATGTGCACCGTTAATGTACAAGCCGTTCAGGTTTGATGAAAGACACGCGTTGTACCACCATGCCCCTTTGTACAGTTGAGCGCAGCTGCCACTTCCTCCGTCATTATCCTGGTCCTTTGTGGAAAACTGCATGCCACTATAGAAATGTAAACGAGGGAAATTAATAACAAGTAAATGATGGTCGTCCTGATAAAACAGTCAAGTGTTTTATGCACCGGAAGTTACACCAGCGAACTCTGCTGATTTGTTTGTCTGTCAGGCTTTCAACGAGCATTTCATGATTTACTTTTGATAAGTAATTTGGACATTTACATTCACGTTTACGACAAACAGTGAACGTTTATTATTTTTCGTGTAGAGATCCATCGAAGGATAAGTCTGTGTCTAAAACTTTGGTATCAGCTTTGACAATAAAACTCAAAGTACTCAGAGGTTTGCTGCTCGGCAACGTTCATTTTTCGACAATCCGTTTGTCGCCATCAACACCTGCAGTTTGCCTTAAATCATTTTTCTCTTAAATAGGTAATCACCGCGAACACGTTGGTAAAACAACACGGTTAATCAGAAAAGCCAACAAGAAGACGGATTGCTAAAAATAAAGTTGGGGTCTATTAGATTAATTAATCAATAAGATTAGCTTGACAGCTATGCTTTGCCTCCAGAAAGAAAAAAAGAGTCAGCAGTATTTTTTCTTCTTCTTGGACTAACGCCCTAGGTTCTAGCGGCTCGTGGCTCCGCGTTCGCTGCTTGCTTGTGTATGTTGCTACCCTAACCGCATGACTCTGCAAACAAATACTGGGTTAGCTACTTGCTCGATCGCATGCTAGAGGTCTAGCCAACATCTAGCCCACAAGCAGGCTCTTTCAAGACACACTTTCCGGTGAGCATTGACTTTATTCGAGATTTCCAAATGGTGCACTTGTTCTGATGCTAGCCAACTGTGGCCGTTGCACTAGCCGTCCGAAGGGCTTATTTACTTACTCTGCTTCCCAGTAACTGTCGCCTTCATAACTCATTGAATCACCCGATGTACCGCTGTAGCCTCCGACGGACAGACGATATTTTTCACTCTGGTCAGACACGTTAAAAGTTGTGTATTCTGCGTATCTGATATCTCCTTCAAAATCCTCCAAGTCAACTCTAAGCACCACCTCATCTGCGGCTGTTAAACGGTGAAGATTGTCGTTTCCAAGCCAAAACTCGCCGTTCAGATTTCCAAACCCGTTTTTGTAGGAATCCCACCCACGAAAAAAATTAACGGAACCCTCCAAACGTCTTTGAAACACCGCCCAACCTCCACCGTCTGTAGTCATGTCACACAGCACTTGAATTGGAATTCCACCATCTGGATTGATAATGTACACGCCACTGGATGAGAAACCGTCTTGAAGAAGCTGGACGCAACTTTTGGGTTCTGTTCATCAAAAAATCCAAGGTATTTAGTTATAACAAAGGATGTGTGGTGTTAAAAAGTGATGTTGCTATTGCAAATGTCATAAGAATAAGATCTATATTAGGTGCACTCAACTTTTGACTATGTGCTACCGACATGAAAGTAAATTATTTGAAAACATCCCAGCTTTAAAATGATAGATTTGAAATGAGGAGAGATTTCTCATTTTTGGATGAGTTCCTTTGGGACGATCCAGATCAGGATTCATGATCCAAGATCACTCGGATGCTGATGCATCAAAAGGAACCGATGAATCCTTGTCCAGATGGTGTCTAGCGGTTTCTTTAAATACTTGGGTTATTTTGAACGTTTTTCACAAGTGCCACAATAATTTAATAACTATGCAGTGGGAGTCCCGTGACCTGGTCATGATCAGACACCAGTTAATTTTATGTAGCCTCAAAACACGTCTATCAATCAGTTGTCGATCTCACTTTCCCCACACCGTACTTGTCGCTTTACATATTAGCCGACTCCATTACCTCAACCAAGCATGTCAGTAAAAACTTACTGCAAGGGATTCCTGCATAACCATCGGAACAACTGCATCGTACGCTATCATCCTGATAGTTAGGGATGCAGACCCCTTTGGCGCCACATAGAGAACCATCCATTTCACATGCACTCTGAAAATACAGTAACAATAACATAAACGGTAACGTAACGGATAACACAAACAGTGGCAACGAGAGTAACAGTCTTAGTTACAGAAAGCTGCTAGAAGTAACACTTTTTCTCAGTTGTAATGAATAAACAGGAGTTTTTCCACAGAGTATCTCCGTCTTTGCTATTTGTCTCGTTATATCTTCAGTAAGTTTTTCTTCTTCTTCTTCTTATTACTTTTAACAGGTAACTTTTTAGATAATAACTGGCCTCTTAGCTAAATACATAGCCTTAAAACATGTGATACAAACTTGTAAGAAGGTGCAAATTTGACTACGGTAAAATAAGACATTTATCTTTACTTAATTTTAAAGGATAGTGAATTGTTGGTTGAATTTAAAACTTGTCTTCGAAGACTACCTTCAGACCACCATACTTGAAATCTCCATCTTGACTGTAGTTATCAAGACTCCTAAATCGATCCGAGTTGCTAAGCTGACACACAAATCCACCTGCTTCATTCTCAAGCGTCGCAAAGTTATATGATTGACACCTTTCTTCTTTAAGGCACTTAAATTGACAGTGGTTTTCTGAATCCACTGAAATTTCTTTTATCATGTTTCCATTCAGCTTTCCTCCCTCTTTCGGCTTAGCAAAATTAAACGCCAACATGTTAGGGCCAGGTATTCTACTTTTGGCATGTACAATCGTACCGAACACCAACACAATCCAAAGTCGTGCTACAATAAAATTCATGCTGGAAATAGACAGGACATAGCCAGAGCAGGGCGTTAGTAAGACAACTGACTTTTATTTTCAGCTTTTAACACTGTTGTATTATTAAATCAGGGTCCTAAGTGCAGGTGTAAATTTTTAATACTTAAACATAAT